TAGTCAAGTCCAGTGAAGTAAATTTTCTTTATCGAGCACAAAATCACAAATTTGTCTCAGGGGGCTTTACAATCTGTACAACGTACAACACCTTTTATTTATCCTTAGACTCTACGTTCTGATAGAGTGGAAAAGACTTAAACAAGGAGGGGAAAAAGAGAAACCTCAGGGGAGCAAGAGAGGAAGAATTCCTCTTCCACAATAGACAGGCATGCCACAGCTGATGTTTTATACAGAGGAGATAAGAGTAGCAGCTTTAGAATTACAATATATTAAAATGAAGGATGGCAGTATCAAGTTAGTAGCCTTGTATATGGGAAGATAGAGTAAAAAAAAACATTACTGTAAGAGTTTATGGCAAAGTGTTTGGAATCCATGGTGGAACAACAATCTCTGGCTTTTTTCAGAGCAGACATTGTGGTGTGTCAGAGCATGAAATGAACAGGTGTTACTAATAACATTAAAGCTGGGGTAGGCAGTTTTATTTTGGTGTCATTTGGCAAAAAGCCCAAACAAAATTTGAGCATATTGTAATTCTAGTGGTCTGAAAGAACATTAGACTTCTGCACCTCCTCTTGGTTCTGTTTTCAATCTAGGCTGCGACGGGAGACCTTGACCAATCACAGGTCATTTTAGAGAGAGGGCGTTAGTATTGGCTGTTCTACACATGCAGTCGGCACGCATATCTCTTCAATGAAAGCCTGATTTAATGGCCAAGAATCCTACTGAGAAAACTGCAATTCCAACATTGACAACAACTTCCTGCACTGCAAAGACACCCAAAAAAGGAGGATGGACTTATCAAAAAGAGTCTAAAAGAGTCTGACAATGAACAAAATAAAACGCATGTCAATATCAGTGAAGCGGGCGGCACAGTGGGCAGTGGTTAGCATTGTCACCGCACAGCAAGAGGATTCCTGATTCAAGCCCAGGGTGTGGGAGCCCTTCTGTGCGGAGTTTGCATATTCTCCCCGTGTCAGCGTGGGTTTTCTCTGGGTACTCCAGCTTCCTCCCACAGTCCAATGACAAGCAGGTTAACTGGTGACTCTAAATTGCCTGTAGGTGTGAATGTGAGTGTGAATGATTGTCTGTCTCTATGTTTCAGCCCTGCGATAGTCTGGCGACCTGTCCAGGGTGTACCTCGCCTCTCACCCAATGTCAGCTGGGATAGGCTCCAGCCCCCCTGCGGCCCCCAGCAGGATAAGCGGTTACAAAAAATGAATGAGTATCAGTTAAGAGTTTCAGAGATAGAGAGAAAATGTTGCTAACTCAATAGTCAAGCCTTCTTGCTGACCGTAAGGCTCATGGCTGTTGCTTCCTGTTGACATTAATGGAGCTAATATTAGCTAGAGCCTCGAATCACAGTGTGTCCTCTGCCTCACTCCCTGCCGCTACAGACCACCTTGCTGGGAGTAGAATGAGCAGAGCTCTCCAGACACAGACCCCCACTCAGCAGCCACAGCAACACAAATCCAGCCAGTGCAAACACCAGCAGCAGGGGAGCAGACAACCCTGACTCACTGTGGATCAGTAAACTTTCAGTTGCTGCATTACACAGGTTAGACCGGGCGCTGCCACTGGCCACCAATAAAAAAATAAATCATTAATTAAAACCCTGGTCATCTGTTGAGAGGGGTTTAGGACAGAGAGCTGCAAGAGGAGGGTATGTTTTTTAAATCTAATTCTAATTCTAATTCTAATTTGCTTTTTTTGCCTTTTATCCCGGCTTTACTGATGGCTTTGTTCTATTCAGTACCAGCCTCCTGTAACTGAAAACAGCTGAATTGAATTTAGCCGTCATTCATTTTATTATTTGTGTTTTCCCTACTGTGACATATCACATTTTCAGTGAAAGGGGGCAATTAGAAGGGGAGCAAAGGCACCAATATTAATATGTTCAATTTGTATTTGTGTGTTTTTAACTGCAGATACCTGCTGCATTACATTTCCATAACAACCAGGTCCATTTTTTGTGTGTGCAGTGAGTGGCACAGTGAAAAACAGGTTCAGTTGTACCCACAACACTTCATTCTCCTCCAATCACAAAACTAGTTGGAGTGATGTCACTCAGCCCACATGCATGGCCCGCTTGCACACAAAGAAGGAGCCACACTCACACATTTTTGAGTCATTTTAACACCCCACTCTGCAGCTCTATGTTTTCAGCCACTTGCAGCTCATTATACTGGTTGCCTGGTACATGTACGCTTCAGTCCCGATGGCTCTCACTGACCCCACATATTATAACTGGCAGCCAGTCCTAGCTCATAAACTCACAGAAGCTGATTTTATGCTGCCTGTCTGGTGTGAAATGAGCAGCTTGCTGAAGTAAACAAATGACTGGCGAAGAAAACGACCCAGACTCATTTTCTCAGGAGATAGTTTTGGAGACTTTATGCCCCCTAGTGGTCAGAAATCTCTTAATGCTGCTTTAAAATTGACAAGAAAAAAAACAACCAGAAGTACTGACGCCTTTGCTACATAGGTTAGCATCTGGACTTTCTCATAGACAGTTTCCTTTATCTGTCTCTCTGAAAAGCAGAAACATGTTCCTGTCTATGTTGTCAGCTAAATAATACATACTACCGTGGAGGAAAAACACAAACCTTCTCATCTAAACCACAATAATATTATTTATTTTGTTAACATTTAAAAATGTGTCCTATTGGTGCTTGCTGTCAGAGTGTCATGGCAGCTGTTTGCAAATGAAATGATATATTGTATTATTTTGTTAGAATGATATGTAATTGAATGGTACTATCCTGCTGTTGTAGATACCAATTAGACTTTGAAGAAACACACAAAGAAAGACAGAAAATCCCAGCAGTGTTTCAGTTTTTCACAGAGACTGCTGATGAAAGACACCTGTAAAAAGAAATGCAGCATATCCTAACTGTTAGTATGAAATTGGAAGGAGCTACTGGTTCTGTAAGTATTTCTTTACTACTGTGAAAAGAAAAATATAGCATTCCGACATAGCATTTAGTAAGTGTCTGACCCTCAAAAACTCTTGATGCGTGAAAGAGAGTTATGCCATCTTTTTAAGAGTGAGTCCCGCTGATGATTGAAATCATCTAAGCCATGAAAATGTTGCAGCTGTAAAAATGAACATGACTTTTACTTCAGGAACCCTGGATGCCCAAAACAGCTCCAGTTTGCAACTCTACCACTGTTAATTTGGTTGGGAGAACTACCTGTGGCCAAATATTGCTTATTGCAGCTTTGATATTCCACTTTATGACAAAGTCTGCATGCTGCACCAAATTACACACAATTTCCCCACAATTCAGTATCAGGTTTAGTTCATGTTTTAATGATCTGGACTAGAATCAAAATAAAGTTCTGTTGGTCTTGGCTATAGACACTCTATACACTCTTTGGCTGTACACCTTCCCTTTGTAATTATAGGCTGCATGTGAGCCAGGAGGACCTGAGCAAATAAATCTGCAAGTGTAATTTAGAAATTAGCTTCCTGCTTACTTTTGTTGTCTCAACCTGGGAGAAATGCCTCATGAAGAAAATATAAATGACCCATGATGCTCAATTTATGGCCCTTCGACCACTTTTTAATTTGCAATGAAAATAAATTGATTCACACTGGGATTTAATTTTATTTTATTTATTTATGTTTGCACATAGCAGTACAGTACGCTACGGTTCAGATCGGTTTGGTACACTTTTTTTCCATCTCCACTGCAAAAAGTTGTGGATGGTACCAATGGAACTGTTCCGTACCGTCCCCATTTTTGGTCCCCCCTCTGTTGGGGTACCTCACACACAGATCTGGTAATAAAAGGTGGAGCTGTGAACACTGCAGTCTGATTGGTCAATAGCAGACGGTCACTCTGCTCAGGGCTGAGCTGTGCCTGGTTTTGAGGTTCATGTAACCACTGTTCATACTGTGGAGAGTTTAATTAGTAGACGTTAACAATAGAAATGAAGGCTGTTTTGCTGCCTCTTGCAGCAGCTGGAGTAAAAAAAAAAAACTTAATTCACTGAGCTGAGTGCCGGTGACTTTTAAGGTGGAAAGTTATCTTGTTATGTTACTCAATGCATAAGGTGACGATGTGACTCCATCAACACACCTTAATATTCCTTATAACAAGTTCGACCATCATTTTAGTTTTTATAGGACATACACTTTAGCAATGAGTGGATCTTCGAGCATTTTTATATATTAATTTCAGCCTGGTTATGTGAACGCATATATTCTGATCCTCACCGCGTCTGACTACAGCAACACTTAACCCCTGAGCTTGCCTTAGGGGAACTATATCCGCAAACCCGCAATTTTTAAATATCCCTTGGAGAGAGACTCTCACTGCAGCCTGTTTTATTTTGTTCTTAAAATGTTGGCGTGCAGCCTCGTTCTGTGGACGATAAGCGAGGCGCAGACTTCCATCTGTGTCACCTGTAATGAGGAAATATAGTGAGTGACAACAACCCCGCCCACATTTAAGAGTTGGCTACTGTTTGCGTGGTGGAAACGCTAGGGTCTAGGTACCATGTCTGAAGGGTTACTTTTGGTTCCAAAGGTACCATACCTGAACTGTTTGGTGGAAACGAGTCTTTATTCATGTATTTATTCCTTTTTTTTTATGTTGGTGAAGGAACCCTGGACCCCCTGACAAATCTTCAAATCCTAGAAACGCCCCTGCGTACACCTTACTTGTGTGGGGCTGCTGCTACTGGATTTGCCTCTTTGACAAAGAAGAGTGAGGACAGCAGATGTCGAAAGGTTGAAGACAGGTTGTTCATTTATTCTATGCGCTAATATTATTATGGTTTATTTATTAATTGGCCTTAGCAGAAAAATAAAGTGCCCTCCGGACAAACTGCCCTACATCCCCTGGCAGTTAGTGAATCACGGAGTCTCACTGTCTCTTTGTAATATCGCGGTCTGACGCAGGAGGGCGTAGTTCTCCGCCAGGTGCGTCTTCCTCCCCTCCCGCACCTTCCCATCCCAGCGCTGCTGGCTGTGGCTGCTCCATCGCCTCCTCCTCGCCGCCGTGCAGCCCACTTCTTCTTCGCAGGGGGAGCTGACTTGATGCGCATAATAAATCATCTCTGCAAGATTTCCTTTCAAGCCCAATTTCAGACCTACGCGTGTTGGATTTGAGAGCGTAAACACAGGCGAGAGTCGAGCCTCTTAACTGGGGATGTTTCAAATGTGATTCAGCACGGCAAACAACGTGGGTGTTGTGTGTGTGCGTGTGTGTGAGTGCGTGTGTGTGTGTGTATGTTGTTTTTTTTGATTTTTTTTTGGTGGGGAGTGGAGGAGAAGGGGGAGAGCAGCGATATGAAACGCGTGTGTTTATGCCTCCTGCGCTACCCGTTATCTCTGACTGACCACCGGCTCAATTTTTCACCTGTATGAACGACCTTGCGATTGTGACCGAATTTTTTCCTAAAAAGGGGGTTTCCATGGAGGATCAATGTGTCGCTTTTTCCGTGAGGGCTGAATTTGGTTCCTGCTGGTCTCAAGATATTTCAAGATAAGAGGTAAGACAAAAAAAAAATAGCCCATGAGCGCGCTTGGCAATTGTGAACGTGCACAAATACAGAAAGCTAAATTATTTACTCAGTGATATTTATATGTTCAAATATTCATCCACGCTAACAGGCTCACATGTCGGCCTGTCTTGCCTGCTGTCCCGAATTGGCCCATCAATTCCTAATGCCGTTTATTATTTGATCATAATTGTTGAGGCTGGAGTAACGTGACGTGCCCTCCCAACTGCAGCCAATTCCTCCACACTGCTTAGTCTGATTTTGTAGGAGCATGCATTCAAGACACACTTTGATATTTTGTTTAAAAATAAGGAGTTGGCTCAGCCGTGCCTTTCTTTGTCAAACTGCTGTGGAGATGCTGTTACATCACTCACATGGTGGTATTTTAGCCTCTAACTGCTCTCGTGGTTCCTACCTGGTGTGGTGCCAGCCACACTGCAGCCTGGCTCCACTTCACCTTACCCGCTGAATTGTGGAGCTACAGGCCACCACTGATACATTTTAGGACTAAATCAAACCTTGGGTGGACCTGCATGCACAGAATGCAGAAAAAGACTGCAAAAATGTATTCAAGTGTTACCAAGGACCCTTTTCCAAAGGCAAAAAATACCTTGAGCAAACCTTGACAAGTGTCACGGCAATGATTGTCTGCATGCCTCTTGAGATACAGTAAGTGTGAAAGGTGCACACACACACACACACACACACACACACACACACATACACACTATTTCTACCCTGCAACATTCACCAGGTAATTGCATACTGGTATGCCACAGTGTCAGCTGGAATATCTATGATGAATGCAGCTAAGGCCTTCAAAGTAAGTACACTCCCACTCTGCCAGCTGGGCTATTTGTTCAACCAGCGTGTTACTTGGATGCAGGCAGAGTGTGATGGAGGTGGTAGATATCGTGATTATACATTATTTAACCCAGTGGTGTCTTGGTACAGGAAGGTACCCTCCGTGATTGAGAGTGATTCACCCTGTAAAGCTTTTCTCACCACCTTCTATCACCGTCATCGTTAGCACCATTATCCATGAGAGCAAGCTGTGAGTTTGTATGTGTGGGTGCCCACGTTCTTCATGTTTGTGCATGTGTATGAAGATGTCTTATACAGTGTGTACATGCGAAACCGCCAAGCGATCCGCTCTGTGTCAAATCACTGATAGAATTCTGACTCTCAGTATTTTGCATTTGTAAATGATTTATTGGCTCTGCATTAAAAAAGAGGAAGACATTGCATCAGGTGTTACACAGTGCCATCCCTGACAGAACCCCATTACAAATGCAAACCATAACATGCAAAGTCGACAGTAGTGTAATACCCACTGTACCTTCCACACACCAATCCTCAGTCCTGAGGTGCCAGCAGTTTGCACACTGTGGGCCTATCACTGAGGTATGGCATGCAGGAGTCGTCTTGAGAGGAAGCGTACCAATCCAATTTTGCAGACTTTCGGGGAAGAAAAAGGACCGAGCAAACATGAAAGGTAGGGAAGAAAATTCTGGCTGAGACCCCACGTGTCTGATTTGACATCCAGGCAGCTGACAAACAATTAGACCCTCCATAAGTAGCGCTCTGAACCAGGCTCGCCCCGGGATTAGGCCACAAATGAGCTGCACATCACGGCTTATGTCTTCTAAATGGAAAGCGAGCGTGTGTGTGTGTGTGTGGAGGCAGGGTGTTATACGTGTTGTACACGGTGAGAAAGTGAGTTTGGTTGTGTAGGTGTGTGTGGGTTGTGTGACATTTAGCAGATTGGTGTTATTATCTGTCTCTGCCCTTAATATATCTTGAACACCTCTTGAAGAAATTTGTGATTCTGTATGTGTGCAGACCTGCTTATTCATGTGCATGCTTGTATGCAGGTACACACTATTGTACACTGATCTGCATACACTCTGCACACTTGGATGTGTGTGTAACTGCTCACTTCATTGCTGTGTTATTGCTGGTTCTCAGTTGTGTGTATGTTTGACATTTCATAATTGCATCATTACTCGCTCAGTCTCCTCCTGCAAGAAGTGGGTGCATCGCAATTTGCAGCACATGCTACAAGCAGACAGACACACTTGCCCTTGATTATGGACCTGGGTGGAATGGCTTCCTCATCAGGCTGTCTTGATTCACCCCAGCATGTGGGGAGACACATGCTGCTGTGGGTGAATCTAATTGATTGGATGACACCCAATTCCCAGGTCCAAGTCTCCTCAGGCAGCCAGAGTGAATCCGTCCAAGTGAAGGATGAGCTTAGGCGTTGGTCGCCCCCCTAATAGATTGGCATGGGCTTCTTCCCATATGCCTCTGGTATCACCCTCAGACATCTCTGGGTGCAAGTTGGCCAAAGCGCAGGGCACAAAGTGGCACCGCCTGGATCTTCACTGATCAGAAATGTGAGAATGGACACAAGTAATGAGACACATCCTGCACCAAAACCCACATCCATTTTTATCACGTTCCCCGTCTTCTCCTGGTGGGTGATTAAAAAACATGATGTCGAAAGCCGGATAAAAATATCCGGGGGTTCGTAGAGTTTGGTGTTTTACAACAAAATTCTTGTTCCAACAGGTCAAGCTCCCCTCTCTCGGAGAACACGAGTGCCATTTCAAAGCTTATTGGATGAAAGTCTCATTTGCCCTTGGCTGCCAAAGATGACGTTGCCATGGAAACAGCTTCTACTGTTATCAATCATCGACTGTCTGGCAGGTAAACCACCTTTTATATATGAGTAATGATCCTTTCACGTTTGGGCATTTACAGTTGCGGGGATGATGGCTGAAGAGCCGAAAATCATGTCAGTGTCAGCGATGATAGGATGGGCCGAATTTAAAGGGCCACTCCTCAGTATTGACTTCCATTCACAACACAGGCACAATGCTCTTAATCTTTCTCCTCACCGCTCTGTGATTGTAACCTGATGAAGAGGTATGCACTGTTGTGTTCTCGTCTTTTAACATTTTCCTTGACTTCATTAACACATAACTCGGCAGAGCACAAGCGTGATAACCTCTATTGCTTCTCTAAAGTCAAAACAAATTAATTTTCTTTCACATAGTGTACAAATTTCCGAGTGAATGATTGCCTTTTATCAAATGGAAACGCAATTATTTTTAATTGCTGGAAAACATTTCTATAAAGTGCTTTTAATATTATTCAACTTGTTATTATTTCGGAAGAATCTGCACTTTACGACCTCTCAAGATAATTTCAAACACGCTGAATCACTTCCCGTGTTTAGTAATGTCCAATCTCCCATTTTGAAAGAGCCTCCCTGTTAAACCCCAATATCCCATTTCCTCCAGAAGAATGGGGCATTATGGCGGCCGAACTCAATCAAAATGGCACTTTTTTCCCCTGCCATTATGCTCAGGCTGTTACTGTTGCTCTGACAGATTGTCTGGACAGTGGATCATACCATGGTCCAAGATGGAGGATGGAGCCAGGTGACTTGTTCATTCCTGTCGACTCCATAGAAGAGGAAGCCACTCTGACCTGTGATGCAAAGGGAACGCCACCTCCTCAGTACAGGTAAGGGCGCACTCACATCAAAGTGTGGGTTAGGATTTAGATAAAGACTCGTTATTTGATAGTTTTAATTTATTTTTTAACTAGTAATCCCAAACTCTGTCTTGAAACTGAGGCCTAGTCCACACGAGCACGGCTATTTTTAAAACTGAACTTTTTTGGCCTCCACTTTTTAAAAAATCTGCGTCCATACGAGCAATGTAATAAAAATACCTCCGTCCACATGACACCGCAAATTCCACTATCAAGCAATGTAATACACATGCCAAAGCAATACGTGGCGATATAACTCCTAACTGTAAGGCCACTGTAGCCAATCAGAAGGCAGTAAAACGTCAGTACCGGAAAAACAACAAGCGCGAAGTATCAATATAATATATATATATACATTATATATAATCAATATGCTGCTAAATAGCAGCAGTATTTGTTTAGGTCGATCCTCAAATCGTCTCTCGCACACACTGGATCGGGTAATAACACAGTTGTTTTCTGTTTACGTCGCACACTGTGACGTCATACAATGGGACGAGACAAAATAACTGAGGTTATCCTGTCCACACATGACTGCTGACACTGGACTTTTCCAAAAAGTTCACCCTGGACTCCGGTTACAGATAACTCCGGTTACAGGGGCCCAAAACTGTGGTTACGTGTGGATGAAAGGCCAAACCGTGAGCAAAGAGTCACGGTTTTATAAATACCCGCGTTGGTGTGGACAGCCCCTGGTTTATAAAAATTCAATTTGCAGCACAAACCATCAGCTTTTATTGCTTTTAACTTAAAGGCACTCAAGCGCCACATCAGCAGCACTTGCTATTTCTTTGTATCCTTTCTTTGTAGCTGTCAGTGTCAGAAGAGGACCTTGTTTAATGTGAAGTACTGTGATCACTGCAGGCAACATTACTTTTTGGATGTGTGGGACGTAAAATCAGTGTGAAATCCTTAAAAGATCAGCTTTTTGTACAATAAAAATCTGTATATATACACAAATACACGTATATACACTAGGGCTGGGCAATATATTGATATTATATTGATGTTGAGATATATAAGAATGGATATGGTCTTAGATTTTGGACATCATGATACTGATAGCGTGTATTTTCCTGGTTTGAAAGGCTGCATTACAGTAAAGTGTAACTGTAACTGTCTGAACTTACCTTGATTCTAACTGTTTTATTTTCCTGTACCCACTTCAGTCATTATATCCGCATTTCTTCTGTATATCATACACACATATATAAGGGCCTTTCAGCTTCCCATTAATATAAAGCCCATTTCAGTCATTCACACAGCTCTAAATAAGGATATATAAAGCTTTTTCACATGGAACAGGCGGGTGCTTGCTCCCCTTTCATTTTCTCCACATTAGACTGAAATGCACACTGACAAACAAAGCAGTGGTGTCATTATGCCTTTACTAATTCATATTGACTAACACGCCGGCAATCTGCCTCTTGTCTCGCCAGATATTATCTTAGCGACACACGTGTAGCATCTTAATGCATCTTTGAATCTCCTCTTTTAAAACGCGGTGAGACCAATGCAGGTTGCTAGACACCAGTTGGCACCAACAGGCATTGATTACAAGTGTCTTTGGCGTTCAACGGTGGAATTACTGCGGCACAGCCAGCACAGATGAGCTGAATGATAGTGGTGTGGAGTGCGTACGCTCATTATTTCAGGCTTTTCACATTCCCCGCCTAAGACCAGGTATTGCCATGAACTGATTAAAGGTGAGATGAGCATGTTTAACGTGGTGTCTTGTCAAGCTGGCTGTGCGGGGCTCTGCAAGCCCTCAGCACCTCTCTGGCTCTTCTCTTGAAGTGTAAATAGGCTCACACTGCTCCCTCCCCCATCCTCTCTTTTCTCCCACCTCCTTTCCTCTGCCAGTCCTGTCACTCACAAAGAGATGAGACTTCCATAGTATGCACAATGTAGCAGCATAATAACTCATAGGAGAAAACCATATCTTGAACGAAAAAGCATCTTCTCCACAGCGGGGCGTAAAAGTGATGCAGTTTTTTTTGCTTAAATCCAAACAGAGGGTGACTTGCCTAACCTTTACTTGACCTGAAGTTTGAAGTCTGTGGCTCTGGGCTGCAGGATGATCCAGAATACTCCACTTTTTCAGTGGTCAGATGGTCAGACGACATGTGTTCACAAAATGAGTCTCAAGCAGAGTAATTCAGTTTCGGAGTTGCTATTCAATCACCTGCCCAATGTTCAGGGCACCACTGAACAGCAGAGGCACTTCAGAGCAGGTCAGAAAGAGGTGAAAGTGGTGACTCTGGGATAAAGAGTAGAATGCACTCAAGTGGACACAAACATGCACATATCACTAGCCTATGCAATCCTATAGGTATTCATCACTCACACAGTCTCTTAAACTGTATAGCCTTAGGGTTAACCTCAGTGCATACCGAAACGCAGCTATCAAGTATAAGTGTCTAGAGTATGGCAGCAAGCACTCATCGACATTCAGTGGTTTTCGATATTCTTTAAGAAATTATTTCGGAGGTTAGACTTGAAAGCTTTTGGAAAGTTGGCCATTATGGCCTCCACGTCTTTCATTTCCACTTAAGGGAAGTAAAATAGCAGAATGTGGCTGAAGGAAAGAAATTGTTATTTTCAGTGCTTTGAGAAAAATGATGGAACATTCTTGAAAAGTGCTCTGTCCTTGAACCCATCAATGCTCCATTTTTGAATAGCATTTAAAAAGAGATAGACAAGAGCGTTGTGGTGGCAGGGAAAGAAAGTCTTTTTCTTGCTGAATAATGGGTCTTATTTAAATCAATGAATTAACCTCATGTTTTCAGGTGTTTCATTTATTTGATAGCACTATCTGAACCTGCTGAGCAAAGTGTTATTGTTTTAAGTTCCTGCACCTGCTAAGTGTGGTAAGGCTGTAATGGAAGGTGAAAAGGAGCATAAAAGGCACCCTTTGTTACATCAGCTCACTGTTACCTCTTGCCAAGTGCTAATGTTTTGTCCTAATGAGAAGTCAAAGGTGGAATAATGTCACATTATGTAAATATAATGTGAAGGAGAAGAGGTGATTATGGCGAAGACTGATGATAATATCTGGGATGGCTTCTAAAACCTTTATCTTCTGCTTCCCTTAAATAGCAGTAGACAGCTTTGTGTATGATACTCTGAGATTAAACTTTAATGATCCCTGCGGGGGAAAATGGGATAGCTGCAGCAGCAAATAGTGGAAGAGCAAAATAAAGAAAAATAGAATAGAAAGATACAACATAAATAAGAAATGTGAATTTAAGGGTTATATAAACAATATCCAATAATACATGAGCATGTTATAGCATTATGGATTACAGAATTACTACATTACAGGGACAGAACAATATGCGGCAATTATGGAGTGTCCAGCATATGATAAGTAGAAGAATAAAATTAGGGCTGGGCGCAATTTATCTTCATACAACGGTTCGTATGATACCTAACAAATGACATTGCATCCTCAGTGTACAGTTACGTCAGTCAGATTTAGGCAAGTAAAGTCACGTAGGTTAGGTTTAGGAAAAGAAACATGGTGATGACATACCTTAAAACAACTCAAAGTTTACTTTGTTCGAACACCGCTCTCCTTTTGTTTGACCCATCCACCACCCCAACTCGCCTCCATACATGGAGTTTCGGTCTTTACACCACCTCCTTCTTTTTTTCCCATCAACGCATTTGTCCCATGATTCCAGCCTTCTCGATTACATGGCTCATGATTATGTGTGTTATATACGAATTATGGTGCATCATCTTTGTAGGTAGAAATACAAACACGGCACGGTTTGATCCCTGCGGTTAACAGTGGTTAGCAGTGTCGCCTCACAGCAAGAGGGTTCCTGGTTCAAACCCAGGGTGTGAGAGCCCTTCTATGTGGAGTATGCATGTTCTCCCATGTCAGCGTGGGTTTTCTCCGGGTACTCCGGCTTCCTCCCACAGTCCAATGACACGCAGGTTAATTGGTGACTCTGAATTGCCCGTAGGTGTGAATGTGAGTGTGAATGGTTGTCTGTCTCTATGTGTCAGCCCTGTGATAGTCTGGCGACCTGTCCAGTGTGTACGCCACCTCTCGCCCAATGTCAGCTGGGATAAGCTCCATATTTATCATATTAATATGACAAACACCAATTAAATTTAGGACTGGAATAATATAATCAGTTGCTTTTTCCGTTCATGACATATATTTTGCTGCTGTAGTAAAATGGCTGAAGTGAAATGAACAGCCTGAAAACTTTATGTTACTAGATAAAACAGATGTTGACAAACTTTTCCTTTGGGGATATAGTTCACAGTTGAAAAAAGATAATAAATCGTTATATATTTTATTGCAATACTCAGCAATGATCGTGATAATATTGTATCGTGGATACTCTGGTGATTTCTACCCCTAATATTTACACAGTATGATTTTTGATAAATCATTATCAGTGATGTGGATATAATGAGTAAATGGGTGAAGGCAAACAGTAGAGAACAGCTAGAACAGTCTAGTAAGCTCAGAAAATGACATCACTTTACTGTAACGCAGACTATAAAACCAGGACAAGACAACACAGCGATGTTACATTATCTAAAATATGAGACGATGCCAATTTTAATATCCCAATATCAATATAATATTGAAATATTGCTCAGTCGCACATGCATTCATGCAGTTTTTAAAAATGTGAGTTGAGGAGAATTTCAGTATATTTATGTTTGACAGTAGCAGACACTCTATCAACTGTCTTCTCCAACTCTGTGTGACTTCAGAAAGTAGTTTTGTTCCAAACTTTGGAAGAAAGTTGAAACACAGCAGGGAAATAAATTTCAAAAATCACAGCCGTGAGGTTTGTGCTGTTCCTGCTTCAACCTGCGAGCCTGCGAATTCCTCGACACCAGCACAAATGTACAGTGTATTATTCCTGCTTGGAGTGAGGTACTACAGTGAGTTGTGTTCTCCGCTCACCTCCTGTCAGACCACCTTGGTTGGTGGAGAGAAGCGGACAGTGAATTTTGCCAGGGACTGATGGTGTCTTTGCCCTCACAGATGGTCATTGAATGGGACTCTCATAAATCTGGGTCTGGATCGCCGGCGGCGTCTGTCTGGGGGCAACCTCATTATAAGCAGTCTGGACCGCTACCAGGATGTAGGAATGTACCAGTGTATGGCGTTCAACACTGTAGGAGCTATCCTCAGCAGGAGAGCCAGTCTGCAGTTTGCCTGTAAGTAGAAGTCAAGTTGTTTGTCACTTCTTTTTTTAATATTTATTTCAGTCTGCACAACATATATACAGTACAGGCCAAAAGTTTGGACACACCTTCTCATTCAATGCGTTTTCTTTATTTTCATGACTATTTACATTGTAGATTCTCACTGAAGGCATCAAAACTATGAATGAACACATGTGGAGTTATGTACTTAACAAAAAAAGGTGAAATAACTGAAAACATGTTTTATATTCTAGTTTCTTCAAAATAGCCACCCTTTGCTCTGATTACTGCTTTGCACACTCTTGGCATTCTCTCCATGAGCTTCAAGAGGTAGTCACCTGAAATGGTTT